TTTGCCTGCCTTCTTCGAAGCTTAAATCCCGCGTCTGCCTCTCTATCGGATACATCCCCATTTCTGCAAACAAACTTGCTGCATGGGCGTTAGCAGCAGCAATGTAATTCTCCCTCATCGACCTGCTCCTTGACCTTAGCGCATCGCGTGCCTGACGATATAAAGAAGATGCTCGGTATATATCCGTTACAACTGGCACAGCGTAAGGAGTAATTTGTCCTTGAGTAAGCTGCGCCAGTTGTACGAGTCGTAATTTATTGTCCAATTCCCATTGTGACGGCATTGGGACTCTTCGAACAATTGATGTGACTTCCAGAATATGTTTTTAATGATAATATGATCATTATTCTCATTAGATTCATTGAATTCTTTGATGCAGAATATATTCTTGATAATTCTAAAGGAAATAAGTCAAGTTTTCCTTTGAATTTTATGATCATCATAAACTGTTGTAATAAGCAATGATAAATGGCCAATCATATCCAGAATTATTAAATCCAGTGATAATAATAATATCAGGGTTGATTTGTTTCAGACATCAAGCAATATTAATTAATAATTCAGTTTGATTAGATGAATATAGAATTGTCCAATTGTCAACTGGTAACAGAGGTTGAGTTGAAATGCAGATTTTTGTGATTGGTGAGCACAAGCCAAATAATAATAATAAATAAGCCAGTGATTAAATTCTGGCAAGGACTTCAATATTGACGTTGGAAAGATTTGTGTGATTTGATTTCCCACAAAATGGTTATACTGGATAAAGTGCCAGCCCAACTACTCATCAGAAGTGAATGGCATTGTAGCAAGCCAAGATAGATCTTCCTTTAGCATTGATAAAATTAAGAAAGACATTATTCCTTTAAGCAATGTTGTGTGCCTTGAATCGATATGAACAAACATTTTTTCAATTCATGTGAAAGACGTTTGTCTGTCGACTTTGTGTTCAAATAATCTAAGCTGGTGTTTATGAGATAAACAAAGATTATTGGAGAGATAACTAAAAATTAGGCAAG